CCAGCCTTTTTGAGCCCAGAGGACCCTGGGGCTAGAACCACCTCAGCGAAATGTGAGGGGAGCTAAGGAAGGGGGCTGATCTGATGGGGGGCGGGTACGTGAGGATCAAGAAGCCTGGCTGGGAAGGTGGGAGAGAACAGGAGCATGAGTCAAAGCAGGGTTATTTTAGGGGTGGGGGCCCTCAACCAGGGAGGGGTGGCCTGCTGAGTGGGGAGGGATCCTGGAAGGGCTTCCAGCTCAGGCCAGCCCTGGGGGAGCCCCCCCCATCTTGGATCTAGACCCTACCCTCCCAGCACCACCCCCCCCCCCCCGGGGCCTGGACCGACGGACCCTATGTCCCTGGGAGCACCGGGAGGGGGCAGTAACTGTGGATGGTTGGGAAATGGGTGACCCCAGGAGGCAGGAAGTTGTTTCTCTGCTTGCTGGTGGGGAGGACTGATGAGGGGGTGTTGGGGCTGAGGATGCGGAGGCTCGGAAGATGGTGTAGAGGGGCCGGCCTCCCTGTGTGGCCTGTGGAGGACGCTACTGGATGGAAGGTGGCTTGTGTTCTTGGGGCAGGCAGCAGCCAAACTGGTGTGTCCAAGGGTGCTGGGCACTGTGTTTCTACAAGGCAGGCCCTGCTGCCCCTCACCTGCCCTCGCTTCTCCACACTCCCCCCTGCGGGGCTGGTGTAGCTAGGTCATGGCCACCACGGGTGGATGGGCGCTGGTCCTGAGAAAGAGAATGGGGGTCCAGGGACACCTGGCGGAGGAAGACCTCAGGTTAGAGGGCCCCTTTCTTTCTCTAGAAGACAAGGCTGGAAGGAAATTAGGTGTTGGGCCCTGACCACATGGCCTCGGGTACCCGCTGGGAGACCCCACCCAGGGCAGAGTCTGGAGTGACCTCTAGGAGCCCTTTCTCCCGGCCACAAGACCTCCCTGGGACGAAGGCTGTTCTGGGGTCTCAGCATTGGCAGGATGGGGCCAGGACTTGGTCCACGAGGGGATGTGGAACTGAGCAGAATGGATGGCTTGCAAGTCAGGGGTCAGGGACTGCTGGGAGTGCTGCCTAGAGGAAGGGCCTGCCGGCTGGGTATTGATGGATATGTAGGAGCTGGCAGGTCTGAGCACCTGATGAAGCCATCACATCAGGGTGGGAGAGATGGGGGGGTTGGGGAACCATCGGGGGGCAGTGAGTGAGGCTGAGGATGGTATCACGAAGGGCTCACCGAGGCCACACCCAGGGACCCTTGGGGAAGGGTTGTGGGGCCGGCCGCAGGCCTCCGGAGAGCCTGAGCCCATCCGCACCCGGCCTGCCTGCAGGTTGGCGCTGTATGTCTACGAGTACCTGCTGCACGTCGGTGCCCAGAAGTCAGCCCAGACCTTTCTGTCTGAGGTAAGCCAGCCTCGCCAGGCAGGGCCCCCACAGCTGGGTCCTTCCTTACTGCCTATACCCTGGGGTCCACTCCACCCCCTTTCCATTGGGGCTCCAGTGGTGGGGTTTGGTTGCCCCTCTGCTGGCCCTGGGAACTGAGGGCTGGGGTGGGTCAGGGCCTGTGGGCTGGGGTCGAGGCATCTGTCTGGCCATCTGAGGATCTGTGCCCACTTCTTTGCCCCTTACCCAGTTGTCCTCTGCCCTGCACCCTTGCTCAGGGCTGCTGTTTCCCTGTCTCCCAGGCCCCAGCCCTGGGGCTGCCTCAGGTTGGAAGAGGTTGGGCAGGGCCAGGCAGCAGACCCCCTCACTGTCTTGTTTTTCCCCTGCAGATCCGATGGGAGAAGAACATTACACTGGGGGAACCCCCAGGCTTCCTACATTCCTGGTGGTGGTGCGTGTGGGGCTGGCCAGGGTGGACCATGGAGGGGGGCTGGGTGGGGACGCATGGGGAAACCATCGTCCCCCCCCCTGCTGCCCACAGTGTGTTCTGGGACTTGTACTGTGCAGCACCCGACCGCAGAGAGGCGTGTGAGCACTCAAATGAGGCCAAGGCCTTCCAGGACTACGTGAGTCCCTGCCCCAGGGACCGGGACCAGGGCTCTTGGGGGCCTTGGGGGCCTGCGTGGCCTGAGATTGGCTTGGGTGGGCAGGTGGGTCTGGTGTTGGGGTTTGATCTGGGATCTTGCCCACTTCTGGGAGTCCCTATGCCCTCTCCTCAGTCTAGGGTCACTCACAGGGTGGGGGAGGCTCCTTCCATTGCACCCAGCTCCTGAGAGTCCCCACAGCCCCCCCACACCTTCCTGAAGCCAGCCCTACCTCTCCTTCCCCTCTTCTGAATCCCTTGGGGAGCCAGGAGCTCTGCCTCCCCATCTGCCCAGCTGGGTGGGGTGTGTGTGTGTGTGTGTGTGTGTGTGTGTGTTGGGGGCCACCACGGCATTCCCCCTCCCACCCCAGCCTTTTTGAGCCCAGAGGACCCTGGGGTTGGCTAACTGGCAGGTGCACCCTTGGGCAATACACTTCCTGACTTTGCTTGGTGACTGGGGCTGTTGACCCCACCTCTTTGGCCTCAGTTTCCCTCCAGGTTGAGTGGGGGTCAGAGGCCTGTCTGGAGAGGAGGGGGGATAACATGAAAGGGCTGGTGGCATCTCATTGTCATGGGGAGCAGATGGCCGCCCCTGCGTTTATCCTCTTCTTGGTCCTGGCTGTGGGGCTTGGCCACCTGGCTTCTCCGAGAGGTCTCTAGCTGGACAGGAAGGGTGGGGGGCTCTGGGCCCACTCCGAGGAAAAGCAGCAGCTCAGCTGGCGTCCAGGGGCGTGCAGCTCTAGGCGAGCTCCCCCTTCTCTCGCCCTCCCCCTTGTGCACCCACTCTCCTACAGCTGGCGTCCTCACAGCCTGAGCAGTCCGCCCTGCTGTGCCCCCTCGGGCCTCCCAGGGCGTGGCCGTCCCCATCTCGCTCTGCAGTTGGTCAAGGTCGTGCACCGCCTCCCCACATAAAGCGCCCCCCCCCGCAAGTGCAGGCCTTTGTAGAGCAGGGGTGCAGCCCGTGAGGGGTGGGGGTTCATCGTGTCCCTGAAGACGCTCCGCACCCGTTGTACGATGTGCATGGGAGCCGGGGTCACACTATTGGTCCCCATCGGGTTCCACTGTTCGTGTGCCATCCCCCCTGTCGCTCTCCTGCCAGAACGGGCTCCAGGGGTGTCTGGAGCTGTGTGCGTGCAAGACTCTGCGTGGGCGCTCACTCCCAGTCGAACCCTAGCCCCTCCCAGCCTGCGCAGCGCCCCCTTCCCCCCCACCCCCCGCCCCGGCTTCGCCTCTCGCCCCACCTCTAGTGGCCTCTCAGGGCCCCTCTGGGGAGGGCAGAAAGGCGGAACGCAGGGTTCTCCACGTCCACGGGAGCGCGCTTCCCGGGAGCGCGCCGGTTGCCATGGCAGCGGAGTGCGTCGGGGGAGATGGTGCAGGCCTCAGCGGGTGTGGGGGGGGCAGCACCCTAGCCCCGGGGTGACGGGTTCCCTGTGGCTGCGGGCGCACATCCTGACCAGCCGCTGCTCTAACGTGGGGGGAGCGCCGTGCTCGCCTCCCCTGCACGGTCGGGGCCCCCTCCGAGTGGGGGGCTCAGTTCACCACTCCCGGCTCCTCGGCCGACCTCGGCGTCTCCAGGAAACGCTAGCGCGCCCAACCCATCGTCATAGCAACGCGGGATGGGCCAGGGCGTCTCCGGGTGGATGACTGACGTGGGGGGTCTAGCTCGGGCCACCCGCCAGGGAGGGTGGGCCCGCCCTGTATTAACCCTTCTGGGCCTAGAGTTGGGGAGCCGGGTGAGCAGTGCCCTGTCTTCTCCCTGCCCCCACACCTCGTCGGCAGCCCAGAGAGCAGCTGCCCCCCGCACCAGGAAATGCTCTGGCGCCTGCTGTGGCTTGAAAGGGGGGACTGCTCTCCCACCCTCCCTGTGGGGTAGGTTGGGGGGAGTGGACAGACCGAGGACTCAGAAGTACCTCCTCCAGCCACTGAGGCAGGCGCCTGCGAGAATACAATAGCTGCTCCAGCTGTCGGGCTCTGTGTCTGGGGGAGAGGGGGGGGCGTTGGTGGAGGCAGGGGGGACCTGGCAGTTTGGAGGGGGGTGAGAGCTTTATCCCCCCACTCCTAGGGTCTCTTGGGCTTTCAAAAGATTGGTGCCAGGCCCTGGGAGTGTTTTCGGTCACCATAGGCCAGGGAGGGCTGTTCCCCGCCACCCCCTGCAGCTCCCCCCCCCAGCTTGGGCCTGGGCAGGAGTCCTTCAGAGGTTGATCTTTGAGAAGGGGCAGGAAGGGGGGAGCAGCTTGCAATACCCAAGGGGAGGGGTATGTCTACAGCGGTCCTGCTCTGACGCAGCCAAGGGGCCCTCTCCCCACTTCTGTGGGGCAGGAAGTGCTGTGTGACTGTGGGCACAATGCTTAACTTCTCTGAGCCCAAGTGGCTGCAGTTTTGCAAAATCCTGGGCATCCCTGTGTGATGGCTTGTGCCAGTCCCAAGAATAGCCGTGACCCACACAGACCATACCTCTTGGATCCCATTGGGGGTGGAGTAGGGGCAGATGATCCAGACAGACAAGAGTTGAGGGGCCTCCCGAGAATTACTGTGTTTACTCAGTCCTTGCAGAGTCCTCCTTCCTTAACCTTTGACGTGTCCCCTCTACCCTGTAGACTAGGCCTGCATTTCCCTCCTCCTCCCTGCTCTGTTCCCAAAGGCAGACAAGCCTGGGACTTGGAACCTACCAGAGGAAGTGGCCTGTCAGCCTGTACCCGGCCGCCACCAGCATCTCCACCCTGGGCTGACATGGGAACCCCCCTGTCTAGCACCCGGTCTTCTCCCCTCCTCCAACTGAAGAGAGGCCTGGAGCCTGGAGACCCCATCCCAGTAGTCCTGCTCTTCCTTCCCTTCCCAACTGGAGGAAGAGGGGAGTTCTCTGCGCCACAGCCCCAGAGAGCAGCCCTCTGGGAGGGAGGTTCATCTGGAAGCTGCCAGTTAATTTTTGTGTTTATTTGGGGTGTCTTGGGTAGAGCTGGGAGTCCAGCTAATCCGCTTTACCAGCCAGGAGGACATGGGGCCTGCTGGGCCGGGGCTAGAGTCAGGGACCATGCCCCCACTGGTCTGACGTGAGATTCCAATGGAAAGAGCAAGCCTGTGCCAGATGCAAGAGGCGCGTGCCCACAGGGGCCCTGGCTTATTGGCATTTTCAGACCCCCCAGAATCCTCATGCTTGGGACTGACTCCTTAGGAGCTGGGATCCCCAGGTCCCTGGCCTTCCCCCTGGACTGTGTGCTGCACCTGACAGGGCCCTGATCACCTCCAGTGTCTTGGGTACAGAAGAGGCAAAGCCTGGGTCCACGGCCACACGGCACATTTGAGGAGGACACCAAGTCAGGGCTGCTAAAACCGGGGTGGGGACAGGAGCAGTCACTCCTCCTTCACCTAGAGAGCCCTCCAGGCGTCCTCACGTGCTCACATGGGTAGAAGATCCGATGGCCCAGGTTCCTTGCTCTGTGGAGTGGGCTGTTTGCGGACAGGAGGGGACACTCAAGCAGGAAGTGACGTGAGCAGGTTCTCCTGGTCTTCCTCACCCCTGCAGAGCGCTGTAGCGGCCCCCAGTCCTGTGATGGGCAGCATGGCCCCCAACGACGCGATGGCAGCAGGCCCCATGGCACCCGGCTTCTTCCAGGTACAGCCAGGGCCGGTGCCCCTTGTTCTCCAACTCAAGTGGGCATGTGTCAGAGGGTGAACAGCGTGGGCCATGATGGGCGTGGGGGGTCCCACGGGGAGAGGCCCCGGCAGGCCGCAGTTGGTAGGGGTTTGTCCGCGAGGTGGGCATTTGCACACAGGCCTTGGTGGCAGGGGCAGGGAGCGGCCGCATGGGCTGGGCCCCAGTGCAGGAGAGGGCGGGGTCTCCGTGACGTTGGCCTGCGCGGGTCTGGTTGCTAAGGGCCTCGGAGCATGGCTCTCTGAGCCGTGGGTCTTGCCCATGACTGTTCCTGTAGGGCCCCCCACCCCAAAGCCTGTCTTCCACTCAGGGGAGTGCAGGGCTGGCCCACCCTCCCGCCTCCATGGCGTCCCCTCACCCTCCCTGGCCAGGCTCAGCAGGGCCACAGAGAACAGTGAAGCTTCGGTGGACCTCGCTCCTCCCAACCCACCTGGTTCTGTCCTCCTAGGGCCCCCCCGGCTCCCAGCAGCCCCCCCACAACCCCAACGCCCCCATGATGGGGCCTCACGTTCAGGTAAGGACCTGTGACGCCCCGCCCCTTTGCACACGCACATCCCAGCAACTTGAGACCCCAACCCCACCGCACTCACGCACCGGGCACTGGCTGGCTGCAGTTTGCTGGCTGGTCCTGGAGGAGGGGGCTGTCCAGGCTGGGGGCCTGGGCACTGCAGGAACAGGGTAGCTTTGGGGGGTGAGCGGGTGGCGGGAGGTGCTGATCCCCGGCCCACCTCTTCCAGCCCTTCATGTCACCGCGGTTCCCAGGGGGCCCCCGGCCCACCCTGCGGATGCCGAGTCAGGTGAGAGAGGGATGAGGGGAGGGGGGGCAGGAGTTGGGCCAGGGTGGGGGTACCCACGCTCAGTGCTGCCACACCCCCTCCGCAGCCTCCCGTGGGCCTCCCCGGCTCCCAGCCCCTCCTTCCTGGCACCATGGAACCCTCCCCGCGAGCTCAGGGTGAGTAGGGAAGCTCCAGCTGCTGCCACCCCCCACCCATTAGGACCCCAGCTCCCAAGTTCCTCGTCCCTGCTGCCTCCTGGTGCAGAACCACCCCCCTCCAGCACATGTCCACACTGGGGAGTGTTACTGGCCTGAGCTCCCTTCCTTCTGCCCCCCCCACCAGGGCATCCGAGCATGGGCCCCATGCAGAGAGTGACACCTCCACGGGGCATGGCCAGCGTTGGACCCCAGGTGAGGGCTGGGCCAGGAGAGGGGGTGCGCTTCCAGGGGGCTTCCCCCGACACCTTGGCCTGCACTCACAGCCCTTTTGCCTTCCCAGAGCTATGGAGGTGGCATGCGGCCCCCACCGAACTCCCTCGCCGGCCCAGGCCTGCCCACCATGAACATGTAAGGCCCTGAGAGACCCCTGGGGTGTACCCACGTAGGCCACCACCCAGCTTCGTGGCCCGGCTCTGCTGGGGCAGACTTAAGTCTGCACAACAGCTCCGGTTGTTTACGCTGCACTGGGTGGGGAAACTGAGGCCCAAAGGCCCTATCCCATGGGATATGGGATTTGAGGGCTGACTAGAATCCATTCCTGGTTACCAACTCTCAGCCAAACTCTGCGGCTCCTCGGGCCTGTTTGGGGGCACATGGGCAGGGTGGGGGATGTCACAAAGTGTGTTGGGGGCTGTGTGCCACCTGGCCTAACCCCGGGGTCCCCCCACTGTCTCTTCTAGGGGCCCTGGAGTGCGAGGCCCATGGGCCAGCCCCAGTGGAAACTCGGTGAGAGGCGGGCTGGCCAGCCAGGGGAGGCTGGGGGGTGGGTTAGCGGTGTGGCGTAGAGTGGACTGCTCACAGCTGCCCTTCTCCCCAGATTCCCTATTCCTCCTCCTCCCCCGGCAGCTACTCGGTGAGTGACTGAGTGACCAGGGGGGCTGGGCCACTTGAGCCAGGGGGGCAGTGGTGATGGTTGGCAGATGCGGGGGGTCGTTCTCACCTGCTCTGTCTCCTTCCTTGTGCAGGGACCCCCAGGAGGAGGAGGGCCCCCTGGAACACCCATCATGCCCAGCCCTGGAGGTGCTGCAGCCTGGGCGGGATACAGGGAGGGGTGTGCTCGCCTGGAGAGATCCTCACACCCCATCCCCTCACGCACCGGTATCTCCCCCAGACTCCAACTCCAGCGAGAGCATGTACACTATCATGAACCCCATTGGGCCGGGCGCCGGCAGGGCTAATGTGAGTGGGGGGTTCCAGGGTGGGGGCTGCGGAAGGCGGTGGCCCCGCTGGGGGTCTGGTGGCCCGAGTCCCACGCTGCCCCCCCCCCCCCGCCCGCCCGCAGTTCCCGCTCGGCCCTGGTCCGGAGGGCCCCATGGCGGCCATGAGTGCAATGGAGCCTCACCACGTGAACGGATCCCTGGGTGAGTGGGCGTCCCGAGACACGCACCCCACGCCCCAACCCTGCTGCTTCGCGAGCCTTTTGCGCCCCCTGGCGGTTGCTCCTGCCCCTCTCCCTGGTTTCTCCGCGGGCGTCCCCGTCGCACCCTGAATTTCCACGGGCCTCTCGCTGGCAGGGAAGGCGGGGGGGCGGGGGGAAGATTCCAGTAACTAAGCCAAAAGTGCCGTCACTGACCCCCGTCCGGACCCTCCATCCAGGACCCCCAGCGGCGCCCCAGCGGACTGGGCCCCGGGGACGGAGGCAGGGCCCCGGGACAAGTTCAGGGAGGGGTTAGCTGACCCTGGGCCGGGGTGGGGGCGGGGGATTGGTTCCGGGCCTGGCGCAGGCGCATCTGAGCCGCGGTCCGCCGTCTGTCGGTCCACAGGCTCGGGCGATATGGACGGGTTGCCGAAGGTGAGGGGCCGCGTTCCTGCGTGGGGCGGGGCCTGGGGCTCCCTGGGTGCGGGGATGCGGGCTTGGCCAGAGCTGTGCGGGCCTAGTTGGGGTTGGGCGGAGCGGTGGGCAGGGCCTGGCCCGCGGGGCGGGGAGTCCTGCGCTGACCACGGCCGCCCCCAGAGCTCCCCCGGCGCTGTGGCCGGCCTGAGCAACGCCCCGGGCACCCCGCGGGACGACGGCGAGATGGCGGCCGCCGGGACCTTCCTGCACCCGTTCCCGAGCGAAAGCGTAAGCGACTGCGTCGACTCCCCCCCCGCGGCGGCGTCGGGCCGGAGGGGCCTGGCGGGCAGGCCCCGGCGGGGCGGCCGGGGGGCCAGAGCAAGACCGTGACCGCGGCGGGCCAGGGGGGGGGGCGGGCGCGGCATCCTTCCCCTCCCCTCTCCTTCCTTTCCCTCCTCCCGCCCTAATCTCACCGGCCCCCCTTCCCCGCCCCAACCCCCACCCTGGGACCCGCACCCCAGGGCGGTCTCCCCACGCATCGCCACCTGTCTCCTCCCCTCCCTCCGCCCCGTCCCCCATTCTCCCCGGGGGGGCGGGTCCCAGCGGAGGCCGGAGCTGAGCCCGCCTCCGCGCGCCACCCCCTCGTCTCTCCGCAGTACTCGCCCGGGATGACCATGAGCGTGTGATGGGGCAGCAGCCCCTTGCCCACTGCCGGCCTCGGCTTCTGCCTAGTGCCCCTGCCTGGGACCAAGGTTCAGGGGCTCGGGCAGTCTGCTGGGTGAGGGTCTGAGGTCACACCTCGGGCGACTGTACTCCATCCAGTTCAAGGATTGGACAGCTGGGAAGCCCGGCACAAAGGACTCTCATTTTATAAAAAAAGAAAAACAAAAAAAACACGCAAGGACCTCAGAGACGTTCTTTCCTGTATAGGCCCTTCTTGTCATTTCTATTTTGTCCCAGGGGGCTCCTTGGGGACCTCCTTTCCCCTGGACAGCAGGGGTGGGCCCCATCAATAAATGTAACTTGGTTTTGGTTTTTGGTATCTGGTCTCAGATTTCTTCGCTGTGGCTTGTGGCCACGGCCTCCCATCATGGGGTTAGGCAGAGGCCTCGCTTCTAGAAGTGTCAAGAGTTGGGGCATCAGTTTCTGAAGGGTAGGTAAGAGTCTACCACGTGAAAAATGGAGATGGGGCTGGAGTTGGGGGGTGGTCAGGGTTAGGTTGCAGGCGCCGAGAACCTCCAGGTGATGCTGTGGCTGAGAGCGGCACTGGCTTTATTGTCTTCAGGGGTCTTGGAAGGGTTGGGTTCTGAGGGGCAGTGGGGACGAGAGTTTTGGGGGAGATGGATGGCCACGGCCTTAAGTGGTGGGCATCTGGGGTGCGTCAGCCTGAGAGTGCCCATTGGCATCCCCCGTACAGCCGTTGGGGGCAGTTGGCGCTGGTCCTTTCTTGCAGGGCAGAGGGCAGGTGGCGACCACAGGCCCCCCTCGCTTGAGGCCGGGGCGCTCCATCTTGTGTTCCAGAAGCATGTGGTTCTGTGGCGGGAGCCCCACACAGGCCCTGGGGGGAAAGGTTGGGGCTGAGTGGGGCCAGACCATGCGGCTGGCGAACCCCACAGCCTCCAATCCCAACAGTCCCTGTGCCGAAGCCGCCAGTGGACATTCGGGCCTCGGATGGGGACCCCAAAGCCGGGCCCCACCTGAGGATATTCTCGATGCAGCTGCGCTGGCGGAAGAGCGCATTGACCACCGGGCTGCCGGGCGGCACCAGCGGCGCTTTGAAGAGAAAGCTGAGCAGCGACAGCACCGAGTGGAAGCCCTGCGGCTCGGGGTCGGCGTCCGTGCAGAAGCTCACGCGCTGGCACAGCTCAGTCAGCAGCACCAGGTCGAGCATGATGGGCGCGGCCAGGAGGGAGTCCTGCAGGGCCGGCGGGTCAGAAGGCGGGGCAGGGCCGGCGGGCGGCCCCACTCCTGCCCCGGCGGGCCCCGCACCTCGCACGTGTTGTGCAGCACCAGCGTGTTGGTGCCGCCCAGCATCAGCTCCGAGGTGTACTCGTCCAGTGCCCGCTTGCTGTCGCCCACATACGGCACGTACTTGATGACCACCTGGGGGGCCCAGCACGAGGTCACAGGGGTCCCCGCCCTCCTCCGCCAGGGGCTTCCCCCCACCCACCAGAGCGGCCTGTGGCCCACGCACGCAGTGGTCGGGCTCCTGGCCGGGCGCGTAGAGCACGGGGTTGCTCTGCACCATGTCGTCCACCACGCTGCTCTTGGACACCTCCTTGGAGCGGAACTGGGGCGGCGCCGACAGGTTCTGCCCGTCGTTGTTGCCCAGGTGGTTGTAGCTCACGATGGACATGGTCTGCGGGAACAAGGGGTCCCGCGGCAGCTGCAGGCCCCGCGGCGCACAAGCCCCGTGGCGCGGGCTTGGGGTCCAGGCCCCCCCTCCTGAGCTGTGCACCCCCTAGGCCCACGCACCTTGAGGCCAGAGCCGATAAGGAAGTCCACGAGCACGGACTTGACCTTGGTCTGGCCTGACTTGAAGTCGTCTCCACCCACGAAGACACGTCGCTGGCGGGCGAGCTCGAGCGCCCCAGGCACCAGCGTGTTCTGCGGGGACCCATTGAGGAAGGCGCAGCCCTCCAAGATGCTGGCCACGGCGAAGAGAGTGGAGGGCGACACCTCCAGGCCCAGCTGTGGACGTAGGCGGGCGATCAGGACGGAGAGGTCCTCTGGGGCTGGTCCTGACCCCTCTTCCCAACCCTGGATGCACTCACCTGGATGGTCCGCAGCAGGTTCTCGGCGGTGTCATTGAGGCCTGGGACCACTTCGCAGAAGCGCTCCGTGTTCGCTGTCCACAGCACGATGACTTTGTCTAGCCCAGCACTGGACCGGAAGTCGCGGATGTCCCTGCGGATCTGCTCCAGCTGGGCGGGGAGGGAAGGAGGCTGTACAGGCTCCTCGATCTGGGGAGGTCTGGGCTACTCTTCCCCAAGTGCAAAGTGAGGTCTGGAACCTCAGGATGCGAACGAGGAGACAAAAGGCCAATAACGCAGGGGGTGCGGGGGTGGGGGGGGTGGGATGGGAGGGGTGGTGGGTGATAACTCGGGGCGAAAGGCAAGAGCAACAAGTGGCAAGGGATACAGGGTTTGGGGCGGGGCCGCACCTGCTGTGCGCGCGTGCCCAGTATGAGGTTGTCAGCGCGCGCGCTCTGGTTAGCTGCGATGAACTCGGGGATGTAGACAGAGGGCCGCGGGCGCAGGGCCTCCAAGTGCGGCCACAGTTGCTCCTGCAGCCCCCAATCCAGTACCTGCGCGCGCCGCATCGCCTCAGCCAGGTTCAGCGACGAAATGTCCCAGCCTGGGGCGGGG